GGGGAGTTGCGAGCGTTCGCATCCTGAATGGGTCCTATAACTCAATTCCCTCTGCGACAAGTTGAACTCTCTCGATCTCCAGTTTGGCGTCCTATAGGTCAAGCAATCTGATGTTTCGATTCTTTGGCCTCACGAGATGTTCGCAAGCAAGACTATACATGCATTATAGAGATCGACGCATGGGCCAACTACATAAATTCGGATGCGGATCCTGGGAGCTAGGCGATTCCAGGTATGTTTGGAGAGTATGGGACTTAAGGAGAGTTCTCGAGAGTTGCCCGTGTTCGCCCCCTGATCGAGCACGTACAGGCACCAGGTTGGCACCACCTGGGGCAGGCCCGAAACGTTCAGGCGTTGAGAGAGTTTTGAAGAGAGGAGAGATTGTGAGAGTTCATGTAGTTCAGGGGTCCACGTATATTCTTCAGGAGTCCACATATATTCTTCAGGAGTGCGTCCACGACCCAGCTCTACTCAGCTGAACTTAGCAGGAGCAGTGGGTACGGCTGCTTCAGAAGAAGGTGTAGTGTTTGAAGGTGTTTTGTTTGAAATTTGTTTCTTTTTCGTTTGATATAAATCGAGGAGCTGTCACAGAGTCGCCATCGATAACCTCCTCCTCAAGCCATCGAGGAACGTGACACGTGAAACGAGTCTTGAGATTTAAAGGGCATGAAATGACTCTTGAGAGTTTTGGGGAGTCTTGGGAAGCGCGATAGTTGTGGGGCTGAGGCCCAAAGGCACCACTTGTCCTGACTTCTTTGATTCCTCGAGGACATCCAGAATAAGTTTTCATGTGGATAGATACTATTTCACGGCTAAGAAAATGTTGGGATGTGAAAGTATACTGAACTGTAGGAACCGTGGCCGCCCGTGATGCTCGTAAACGCCCCCCTCCAGAGCCTGAAGGACTTGAAAGGGTCTGAAAGTTTTGAGAATTCTGAGAGTTGTTTTCTCTTCAGACTTTGTTCGGACTTGAGAGTGGCCAGGCCCACCACTGAAGAAGCCAAAAGGCCACGATGAAGGGACTGAGGGTTTGGAGAGTTACAGCCTACG